GAAAAGTGCAAAATATATCAATTCCAGTTCCAAAGCTTCAATATTTTTGAAATTATAACAAATAAGGAGATCAGTTTAACATTTTTCTGTTGCAGGTGGTGAGGTGGTTACAGTTGTTACCAGTATTATGGAAGGAATTTACATGATTTTATTTTTCCAACAATAAAAGTATGGGGTTAGAATCTTATTGAAGATTTGACAAATGAGGGTTAGCATCTTATTTAAGGATTTGACTAATGATAGAATCTTATTTAAGGACTTGGCTAAATAGAGTAAGCATCATATTTAAAGATGTGACTAATGATAGCATCATATTTAAAGATTTGACTAATGATAGCATCATATTTAAAGATGTGACTAATGATAGCATCATATTTAAAGATGTGACTAATGATAGTTAGCAACTCTTTTAAATATGTGATGAATGTGAATAAATGTGTTAATAGGCTAAAAATACTAGAAGAAGGTAGACATGATGAATAAAATACTCTTAAATAAACACAACAATTTTTATTTTGGAAATCGTAACTTAAAATCACACCCAAAAACTGTTTATCAGCCTAAATTTCCTGTGTTATTTCCTTAAAAACTGTAGGAGTCAATATCAACTTTTTCAGCAGGAAAAAAAATGAGCTCTCATCATTTTAATTATTACATTACATTTAATTATTACATAACCAGTAACTAGTATCCAAACAAGAAATTATTCCACAGAAAATACTTTATCTCACAAAATTTCATAGTTGCCATTAATTATAGTGAATATCAATTAAATAGAATATATAAATTTGGTTTTATGAAAATAAAATGTCTCAATTTCAAAAATGGTCACAATTTAAACAGTAATATATTTCGGCTTTCGATTAAGTTCAAAAATTAGATGCCTTACAAATTACCTTCAAGTCATGTACTTAACACTCACCAGAATGTCTAACAAGTGTACAACATTCATGTATAACTGTCAAACACTTACATGACTGTATTGTGTAGATTTTTTAAATTTACAACTGTTATTTATGACTGTCCAATGTTCAAGAAACTGTTTTGTATAGATCTTTTTTGTTACTCCCAGTCTCAAAGATATAACTGTACAATATTCACACGACTGTCAAGTGTAACTATCTGAAGTTCACAAGACTGTCATGTGTAACTAAGTAAAGCTCACAAGACTGTCATGTGTAACTAAGTAAAGCTCACAAGGCTGTCATGTGTAATTACCTAAAGCTCACAAGACTGTCATGTGTAATTACCTAAAGCTCACAAGACTGTCAAGTGTAACTATCTGAAGTTCACAGGACTGTCATGTGTAACTAAGTAAAGCTCACAAGACTGTCATGTGTAATTACCTAAAGCTCACAAGACTGTCATGTGTAATTACCTAAAGCTCACAAGGCTGTCAAGTGTAACTATCTGAAGTTCACAGGACTGTCATGTGTAACTAAGTAAAGCTCACAGGACTGTCATGTGTAACTAAGTAAAGCTCACAAGACTGTCATGTGTAATTACCTAAAGCTCACAAGACTGTCATGTGTAATTACCTAAAGCTCACAAGACTGTCATGTGTAACTATCTGAAGTTCACAGGGCTGTCAAGTGTAACTATCTGAAGTTCACAGGACTGTCATGTGTAACTAAGTAAGGCTCACAAGACTGTCATGTGTAACTAAGTAAAGCTCACAAGACTGTCATGTGTAATTACCTAAAGCTCACAAGGCTGTCAAGTGTAACTATCTGAAGTTCACAGGACTGTCATGTGTAACTAAGTAAAGCTCACAAGACTGTCATGTGTAACTAAGTAAAGCTCACAAGACTGTCATGTGTAACTAAGTAAAGCTCACAAGACTGTCATGTGTAATTACCTAAAGCTCACAAGACTGTCATGTGTAACTGTCTGAAGCTCACAAGGCTGTCAAATGTAACTGTCTGAAGCTCACGAGACCGACTTTAATTTGTAAATGTCTAACACTCACGAGACTGGCATAACTCATTTAAAGTTCATTAATGTTAAACATATTATCAACATCACTCAAGATCTATAACCTTGTAAATATAAGATGTAGAAATACACATTGTCTTTCTTCTTATCTAATCTCATATATGTCATTCATACTACACAAAAAAAAGGATATCTGGCAGGAGAGTCTTTCACAGCATCCAGGAAACCATTTCTTCTTGACACTGGAAATTTATATTATTCAAAAACATCAAAATGTACATCTTCAAACTATGTAAAAGTTTTCAAAAAGGAATTTCATCTAAATATAATTCCTTGTACATAGAATGAACATACAAAAAAGCATACATGTTTTCTTGCAAATAAGTTTAATAATACAGAGTACAAGAATTTTATTCCATTAGTAATTAAACAGTTTTTTCATCGGGAATACATGGATAGACTTCTCTTCACAAGTTTGTTAATGATGTAAGTATACAGTATACTTATCTGTTTACACTACACATACAAATTACACAAACACATCTTAAGCTCTACACAAACTTGAGTATTTACAAGCATACTATTTCAGTTATATATCATATCTGTAAACTTAACATTCACAGTAATGTTTAACAAATCTTAAAGTTCAAGCTGTCTCTAGCTACAGAATATGCCATAAGAAATCTATATTTACTGTAAAACACACCAACAGTGTTTAGCTCATTAATTTAATTAAAGCAATTTCAATATTTGATTGTTGAGATAAAACTTAACTTACATAAAACTAGGTGAGTGATTATACAGCTGAATATAAATACACACAGAAAAGCAAGAGACATAATGAACATGTAGAAGTAGCGGTAGTTTCGTCTGCCTACACAATTTCCCACCCATGGACAATGGTGGTCAAACCGATCTGTTGGAGACAAAATAGTCCAGGGTTAAAAAAATAAACCTTTACATTGATAAAATCATGTAATCCATTGAAGTTAATAACTGATATGATAACATTAACAATTTATAAAAGGTAAAAATAAATGTTTATAAAAAGAAAATATATATCCTTTAAAAAATTGCAATATAACATTTTTAATATCTACAGGTATAAAATCAAAGATAAAATAAATTTAAAAACAGTTTATACCAGTCAGAAGATACCAAACAATAAACTTAAATGAATTAATTCATATGTTAATCTCTCTGTTAGCTACAGACAAAACTGTAATATCTTTAATAAAGGACACGGCATTGTGCAAAGTATCTTACCAACACAGTTATCACACAGACTACAGTGTGATGCTCGAGGTGGCCTGAATATCTTACAAGTAAAACAATACTTCAACTTGACCGTCTGTCCACGTACAACCACCTCCTTGGTTCTAGGTGGTGGTCGATATGTTGGGGAAGTTGAACCATTTGGCAGCTCTGAAAATGTGGAATTGTATATGGTCAATGATAAAATAGAAAAATACAGTTATACACAGGTTCCAAAAAATGCTTCAAAAACAATAGTAAAATTATTAAACCTGTTATTTTGGTAAATTTAAGGAATAAACTAAATAAATAAAATTTCTGTTCCATCATGTACTACTATACCACAATTATAGTAGATCAATGTGTTTCTTGATCTACTATAATTGTGGTATCATAGTACATGATTGTGTTTCATCATGTACTATACCACAATTATAGTAGATCAATGTGTTTCATCATGTACTACGATACCACAATTATAGTAGATCAATGTGTTTCATCATGTATTACGATACCACAATTATAGTAGATCAATGTGTTTCATCAAGTACTACGATACCACAATTATAGTAGATCAACAAGTTTCATCATGTACTACGATACCACAATTATAGTAGATCAATAAGTTCCATCATGTACTACGATACCACAATTATAGTAGATCAACAAGTTTCATCATGTACTATGATACCACAATTATAGTAGATTAATGTGTTTCATCATGTACTACGATACCACAATTATAGTAGAT